ATTTAGGAAACAGTTCTGTTCCTGCTGAACGTAACAGCAAACTGCCAACTAATTTTAAAGAGCCCAGAATCTTAACTTTATTGATTCACATGAACATACCTCAGTGGTGTTTTCTCCACCTTACACCTGTGCTCATGCTACTCTTTCCATATTGGACACCATATGTTTTATTTCCCGTACATCTGTTCCTTACAAGTTTATCTGTATCTATTTTGTTGTTGGCAACACTGAGATCTTTTCAGGAATAGTGCTTGATAGAGCTATCATTGGAAGTGTTTTCTGAATGATGGAGGCGGAAAGGCTTGTGCTGTCAGGGAATTTCTGAAGAAGGTGCTCTGAAGGGAACTGGGGAGTTGTCCTGAATCAGTGAGAACAGGAGCAAGAAAGAGAACATGGAATGATGCAGAAAAGTTAATTTGGGAAGGATGTCCTTACTTGTTCTAAAAACCCCTTTACTCTTTCATTATATGCTGGGTTTAAGGATTAGCATTGGAAAGGAGAATCAATATGTTACTTATAGGCTTTACAGGACAGTCTTTGGTTTTAAGTTTGTACATCATCATATCTTTTGCAGCCCCCACAGTATACAAATCCTGAAAGAACTCATATGCAGGTTTCTCTGTCTTTATTCCACTATATGCTGATTAATCCTTTGAAGTCAGTAGGTGTTGTGTATGTACAACTGAATATACGTTTTGGTTCCTACAACCTTAACCACACTGAATATGACACTGCTGGATTCTAAGCATGCATCATAGTTCTGTCAGTCTCAATCTTACTTCCAGCACTTCTGAGTGATACATTAGTTTAAACTATTGTTTGAGGTAGAATTTATGTCCTCATTCTGGACTTATGCTGATTAATTTGGGTTCCATATAGCAACACAAAACATGCTTATAATCAGCTTAAGTGACAAACTTGAGATTCCTCTTAAGAAAGCAAAACTTAACTGTTTTAAAGCTGCTGGAGCTGGCCTTATCTTACCTTGTCTCCCAGTTGTATTTTAGGATTGTAGTCAATGCCTTGTGCTATCAATTAGATTCTGTACAGTCAGTCTGAATTAGAAGAATTCTGAGGCTGAGCAATACTTCAACAGACACAGGAATCAGCAGAGTACATTGATGGCTGGTAAGCCAGCTGTTTCCCCTAGGTACTCTTTTGAACAAAGATGGCCAGAACTGAGGACTGAGCTTCTGGGGTTTTGTGTGAGTTTGCTTTGAAATTAAATTGTTTTATGATGCCAATAGGCAGGTTACATATTCTGTGTCCACTAATTCCTCACTATATCATAATTGTAATCTCGTTAGCATGGAGTATTATACATAGTATCCAAAACTGCTTTAGAAAATAGGGCAGCCCCTACTGCTGTTTGTTTTAACAGTATTTTGTAGTTGCTTGAAACTTCTAAAAGTCCTTGATATAACTAGTAGTATAAAGAGGTTTCCACAGGAGCCTCTTTTGTACCCTATTACTGTGTAATGCACACCTTAATTAATAGAGTTAGTAATTTTTTTAAGCTTTAACAACTGTCATTTAATCTTTTGGATCAAGTTTTTCACAGCAGGCTCCTTTCTGAGGGGAAATTATTTTCCAGGAAGATTTTAGCAAGAGCTCTTTGGCTGATTTCTCGGGTTTTGTGGCTTAATGGCTTCTGCATGGCCCTGTCACTCCTTTGTAAACTGTGGAAAGTTAAAAGGCTAGTTGATATTTCACATACCTCAGCTGGCAAACCTCCATTTCCCAGCAGCAATCTCCTTTGAAAGCAGCTGCCATTCCAAATTTTTGGCTGCATAATCAAGTCTCACAAATCAGATTCTAAAAAGTCCCATTAGCCTTCTGTTCAACAGGGATAGATTAAACCTGAAACATTATTGTGGAGTTCCACAAATGCTGAAAAAGAAGGATCTGTTTCTGAAAAGGATATTTTCACACCACTGGTCATTTTAATGATGCATAATCCTTTATTTTTTCTCAGGTGAAATTTCATAAAAGGTATAATAGAAGACATATGTAGATATAGGTGAGACTAAGCGTAAGTGGATTTTTGGCCATTTACAGTCCTGGGCCTCAAATATCTTTTGGGTCTTCTTTCATACCGGTGCATAGCTTAGAAAAGTAATGAAGAATGGGCACTATGAGGCACCAGTAGGAGATATGGTCCCTACACTAATGAAGTGTGCTTCAGCATTTTCCTTCTAGCACATGCTCTTACTCACAGGTGAATGAGCACTTGACCCCATTAACACAAGGCCAGTACTCCCAAATGATGTTTCCTACACTTGTTATGGTCAAAATCCTCAAGAGTCACAGGATAATCTGAATTCTATTTAACTTGTTGTCATGTGAGATACATACTGCTCATTTGGTACATTTTATCTCAGGAGAACATGCGCTGACCTGGAGTCCAGGATTTCTGATTTCAGTAGCCAGGAGCTCCTGACATTTCTGTGCAGTTTGGAGACCCTTTGTTGACACAGGCTGATATCTGAACCAATCACATATTATTCCCTGCTGCTAAATTTCACTGAGAAGTTTCACACGTCTTAATCAGAAAGCTACATGATTGCTCATAGTCAACTGCCAGAGGTATATTTTGTCTGTCTTGCTCTAACTGCTCTCTAATTGAGACACTTCTGAATGAAGTATGGATATACCCTGGGTTCCTAGCCCACTCTGGGCCTGTCTAGCTCGCACAGTCCACAAGGTGTTAAACTCTCATTTAATGGTTACTCCACAAAAAGGTACATGTGATATCTGCCCACAGCCAGGCAATGGAGCAACCTCCCCTTTGTGCCTATAGGCCTTGCATTTTTGAGAATCAATAGCATTAGTAACTGCAGAGGACTGTCCCAAGGCAGGTAGGTTGCTTGGTCAAGGGTAGGTTCATGAGCACAGACAAAAGGTTTTCACAAGTTGCATCCCGGGAGAGCATTCCAAAGGTCTTGTTCGTTCAGACTCAGGCTATTTTGTCCTAGCTGTTCACTTTATCAAGGAAATATTCCTGCTTGCTACCTTTTATGGAGGCCTAGCCTGTCCTCTAGTGGTTGGGTCATTAAACATTATACGGCTGGGAGAGAACTTGACAAGGGGTAGCTTGAGTGAACACTAAACAGTTGCCATTGCTGTTTTGCTGACTGAGCTACACTGTTGCTATGTACAAAACTGCTGGCACTGGTATGTGTAATGCTGTTTGTGTCAGTGAAACAGCCCGTGAGAAAAGATAAAGGCCTACAGCTAAGAGTGATTTCTGGCTCCTTCTTAGACCCGACGCCAGTTAAGACAGAGGAGCATCTACTGCAGCTTAAACTGGGTTGAGAGGAAAAGGGTAGTAAGGACTGCCTTGTGTGATTGCTCTGGAGGGAAACTATAATTATGTGGAATAATGCAATGAATGTTTTTTAATGGAAGTACAAAATCAGTGAGCTTTATTGATTCATCTATAATGTACATAACAGGCTATAAATCATTAATTTGAGAATTTAGTGTTTCTTACATTTGAAGCTCTTGTTCTGTTGGCTCCCAAACACTCACAGACTGAGGAATTAATAGCATTGATTTTCCTTAAGTAAATTGATTGCTTAGATGCAAGAATTTCTCCTCCCCCCCCCCCCCCCCGGCTATTGCAAAGGAAGAGCTGCAGCTTTGATTGCACTGACTGGCAGCCTATGCTATTCTTCTGGCATGTATTTTAATTTCTTTTAAGGCAAAATGAAAGTATTGTCTTTTGTGGCATTCTCCTCTGCTATGCCAATTTCTTAGCTGTATTCTGTTAGCAAAAGGGATTTTTTTTAGATACAATTCCTTAGATTTTTCAACAGATTGGTCAGTGTCCTGATGTTAACATTTATTTCTGTTAAATTGCTGAAGAAGCTGTGGCAGCATTGAGGCTGTTAAAAGCTAGATCTGAAATATGAAATGTAAGAAAATTACACTTGGTACAGCAAGAGACTAGAACAGAGGGCAGAAAAAATAGCCCATAGAGCACTGTAAAAGGTACTGGCAGACTATCAACATTTGAATTAATACTTTGTGTCCACACTGTAAAGCAGACAGAAGTTACAAGCCTAAAGGAAGGCACAGCTTCACTTTACTATCTACACGCAACCCCAAACATCCTGCTGAGATTTGTGGAGCTTCCTACCTTTCTCCCACGCTACTCAAGGCAGGTTGTGTTGGCTGCAAGCTGAAGCTTATAGTTATACACAGATTACTTGGGAAGATATGATCTAGATCCTGAAAATATTTTGTAGAAAATATTTCACTTAGAACTTTGCAAAACAGGGAGACAGGGAGACCTGCTGCTCTGCATTCCTTCCTCTGCTCATCACTTTTTAAATCACATATGCATTATCACACTTAAAAAACCTGCATCTTGAAGGCCATGCTATCACAACAGAAGGGTGTGGACGGTTTCATCGTATACGAGACTCACCTTTTTTGTACTGTGTTGAGTTCCTTCCAGTTGTTAAATCCTATTCAGAGGTTGTAATACACAGCTCATTTTTCACCTACAATAAACCAGAGTCTTTAGGACACAGTTTTATGCGAGATGACAGGATGGACAGCAGTCCCTGAAATGTGGACTTCACCTTCCTTCCACTCAGCTGCTGTGGGCTTACTACCAGGGGATGTGTCACACAGGGCTCCGGGGAGCTCCTAAAATACTCCCGAGCTGCTTATTATAATTAAAAAGCGTGCATTTCCTCCACCCCCCAAACCCAGTCAAGGACATCTCTGGTGTAGCAAGGGCAGAGAGGACCACTAAGCTGGGCTCAAGTGTGCGCACTGAGGAGCTCACGAAAGCCCGAGGGGGACGACTCCACCTTCCAGGAAGGGAGTAACTCCTTTCATCCCCCTCCCCGGTCGCTACCTGCCGGCTGCGGGTGCCTCGGGAGGCCGAGGCGGCGCCCGCTCACAGCCCCGCCGCGGGCCAAGGCTGGCGGCGGGGAGGCGGCCCCACAGCCCCACAGCGGGCAGGGCGGGCGTCCGCGGGGGCCTGGGCGAGCCCATCGCGCCGTGCGCGGAAGGAGCGAGGGAGGACGGGCGGGCGGACCGACCAGCGGGCGGGCGGCCGGGGGGAGGCGCCGCCAGACGGGTGCGCGGCGACCTGATCCCTGTCCAACATGGTCGCCGCTCACACCTCCCATTCCTCATCCTCCGGCGAGTGGATCGCTTGCCTGGATAAAAGGTATCGGCACCTTCACGGGAGCTGCTGCGGAGGGATGGTGTGTGCATGCAACCTGCCCCCTGCATGCGTACGTGCGCGCATATATGTATGTATGTATGTATGTATGTATGTATACGTGTGTGTGTGCGCGCGCTGACAGCCGCTCCGCATCAGATCCTGCCTTACATAAGGAGGGTGCAGGTGGGAAGCAAAATGCCCGCAGGAAGCAGAGCAGGGGCAAGCGGGCAAGATGAGGGCTCTTTCTGCTCCGTGGACGCGCAGCTCCCACTGGGATAACTGCTCACCGCCGGGCTCCGCTGCCCGGAAAATGTGCACGTGGTGGAGGAGGGGGAGCTCCAGGGCGGGGAGAGGGCGCTGCGGCCCAGGGACCGCGTCCGGGAACCCGCTGTGCGGCCATGGCAGACCCGCTTCCCGCCGCGTTCGTGCCCCAGCTCGCTCTCCTCCTCGTCTCACAGCCCCTCACCTCAGCACACCGGCTCTGGCCTCATACTGTCTCGCCTCACAGACCCTCACCTCAGCGCACCGGCTCTGGCCTCGCCTTGCCTCTCCTCACCTCAGCGCACCGCCCCCTGTCCCCCCACCTCACATCTCCCAGCCCAGCCGCCTCACAGGTCGGGCGGGAAAAGACAGACCCTCGCCTCAGAGCGCTCCGTGGCGCAAGCAGGTTGCAGGACTGTTAGCCGGAGGCGGACATAAACACAAATATTTGCTCTGAAAGGCGGCCGCAGGCTCCTCTCAGTGGTGTCCTGGGGGCCTGCGGCTGTCCCCCCGGGCTGGCGGCAGCGTTTGCTGCGGGTGAGGCGGAGTTGGGCGCCAAGCACCGTGTGGGTGTGAGTTAGGGCTGGCTAACGTGTGCTTACTTCTAAAAATACAGGCAGATCATATATATATATATATATATATATATGTACATACATATTTAAATTTGGAGTTATTTCCCCGGGTGTTGCAGCAAAAAGTCTCGCAGTGTCGAGTTACACGGTGGGTGGTTTGAAAGTCCTTTGCGGTATTCCTCCATTCAACGCTTACTGTGTTAGTTCAGAAGTGATTTGGTTTCTGAGCTCTCATTGTGTCTCCTGTAATCTCGGAAAATAGTTGACAAAAATTTAGATCATAAATATGCTATACAAGTAAATAAAGTTATTGGAGGGAATTCACTTACGTGATGTAGAGAAGTTTACTGAGCAGCATTAACCAGCGTTTGACAGTGCCATTTGGGGCTTCACCGTGAGTAGGTGTCTTTGTGTACACAGAAGGAACCATCCTCTTCTCATAATTTCTCCCATTTCCAGGTAACCTCCTAGTGTTGCAGGGCTGCACCTCTAATTAGTTTTTCCTTAGTCCATGCAGCAAGCTGTAAGAAGTTAATGGAACTTTTGGTTTAGATACTGATCTAGATGCTGATCACTGATCCCCCCTCTGTAACATGGGACAAAATAAAAGTAGGCTAACCTTTTAGAGGTTAAATAATATGTATAAAATGTTGAAAGTTTTCTAAATGTAAATGCAGACAACTGGTGATGGTAACATAGCCATATAAAAACTGAAGTAAAGCAGGGGGCCTGATTCTCTGCTCTGTGAACTGATATTTGGCAGGTGTGAAGAAGCAGAGTGTGAGCCCTGGTATTTTTAGATAGATGATCCTGTCATTTCTCAGGTTTCTTAAATGCAATACATTGTGAGATCTGAATTGTAAACTAAAATTCAGAGGTTCCTGCTTAGTGAGGTGCATAGTCTTGGGGGGTTAATGATGATTTTGGGAAACACATGTGAGGCATTTAATTTAGAAATCTCTCTGCCATTATGTTTGCATGAAATTATTTTGATGACCATTTTTATAATGGGAATTTCATTACAGCTACTAAGATGAAACTTTTCCTTCCCCTTTTGTTACTTCGTGCTAGTAGCACTAATTTCTTCAGTGGAAAGAATCAGTTCCAGGTGTCCTGAAGGGATTGTGTATTATTGTCCTCCTTTTCCAGAAGGCAATCTGGACGTAGGACAAACCCAGGACATGAGAGGTGGTAATTTGTTTCCTGGTCTCTGTCATGCTTTGTTTTGTGATCATAGGAAATACACTTTTTGTTCTGTTTTTCTATTTAAAACATGCAGTTAAAGTTATGTTGGAAAAGTACTATAGGAATCTAAGTACTATTAGATAAAGCGTTTTTTTATTTGCACACTTGTGTTTGTAGAGTATATTTCTTTTCTGTAGATGATCTATCAGTGTACTCATTTGAATTATTATGTAATTTGTATATATTTTAGGCCTTTAAAAATCTTACAGCATTTTCTAATTGTGTGGATTCTGTAAATATAGGATCATTTAATGAGTCAGTTCTCTGTAGGATACCATGTGTTTATTAAATAATAAATATAGGCTTAACATGTTTTAGTAAATATATTTTCGGGAGGAAGACAGTTCTAAGACTGGAATGCTTTAGAATTTTAGGTGAGCCTCAACAAAAACAATTAAAATTGCATATAATATAGATTATCCAACTTCATTCTTAAAAAAAAAGAGAATGAAACTCTCAATGGGAATAATAAAATACATTATATACAGAAATTGTGTGTTTTGTATATGTTCTTCATGTTTTTCTCTACATCACATATAAAACTTTAACTACCAACATCCAAAACAGGAGCACATATAAAAGTGAAGACCCACCAAAATATTTCTGGAGAAACATTGTTACTGTGTAGGCCCTGTGGGCTGGGACCACCCCTGCTGCTTTGACCACGGAGCTTCCATGTGTTGCTACTAACCACAAAAGCCAAAGATCAGCACTTGAAATCAAATACACAGACAGTATTAATATATAAAGTCACAGTGCAAAGGCAAGGAAAAGCAGGAACAGAAAATTTCAGAGCACTGTGCTTTATCAAGAATGTATTATTTTTGCAGTCAAGAGAAAGGATCAGCAGAGAGCGAATACATCCCAGTTGTACCTGGAGATGTAAATAATTTTTCTTTTCGGGAAATCAGGCCTTTTATCTTTGAAGCAAACAGTTGCCTTACCACTGATTTCCTAGGGAGCAGGCGCATGCCTACCACCTTAGCATTTTTCTCTATGTCCGATCTGCACAGAATTAAAAGAAGGTTGCTGATTTCTGCAAGTGTGTATAATTAGCTTAGGAACAATGTATTCTCTCATGGTTTCTTTAACACCAAAGACTGACTAACCAGAAAATTTCCATGTTGACATATCTTCACTGAATGGTAGATGAAGTTTTTTTTTACGTAACTATTATTTCTCTAAACCTGATCACAGTTACAAACTCAGGTAAGTGTTTTAATTAGACTGAAATACAAACTTGTTAATGATGTACAGCATTCACAGCAGTCAGAGATCCTAGGCTTTCATACCTGCCTCTGGGATCTTGTCTTTTTCTCTGTATTAAAATAACCATCAGTGCCTAAGCTGACTGAAGGAGCAGATCACAGAGCAAAGCATGTAATTTTGCTAGCCTGTTGTGCTAAGAATGTTGTGATCTTTGGTCAGCTATTTATAAATTATTTAAATATGAATGGGTGTTTCGAGGAGATATTGCATGTACTGAGTTTTTATATCCTTGTCATCCTTGTTAGACTTTCGACTTGAATCATTTCCATCTAGCAAAACCAAAATAACACATACAGGATAGCATCTCAGATCTGCACCCTAAGCCAAGCTCCTATAGATTTGAGTGTGAATTCAGACTGAAGCTATGTAGCAGCAACATATTTGAATTAGGTTTTAGTTTATTGTAACATATATTTGAGATGTAAGTTGTCTGTATGTGCTTAGTAGTCAACAGCTCTTTTGTGAGTATACAGATATACTCACAGATATACTACAGATACATGGGCTAGAATGAGGAACTGATATTCTGAAAGAATTGTTGTGAAAGAAATATGGAGACTGTCATCTTCTGTAACCTACAATTATGTCAAAGGTAATGGGATATAGATTTACATTCAGGCAATATTGTGAATATTTTGCAATTGCTTTATGATGATATTTTATTTAATTTTAAAATCTATTATTATGCAATTGGTAAAACTTAACACTGACATATATATTTTAAATTTCCACTGTTGCTTTTTACTTATAACAAATCCATAGAAATAACACTACCATTTTCATGTACAAAATCATGGACATACACTGCAGCTGCTATTGACCTCTGTGCTTGGCATTTTCTTTCTGTATGTAGCTTGTATCAAGTCTGTGTGGGGATGTATCAGCAGCAAGCACTGTGGTGGGTGTGGAAACTTGGAGACAGAGCAGTATAGACATAGCCTAAATGCTTTTTAGCGCTCATGCAAAGGTGCAATCTTCTGAGAGTGATGAATAATAACAAATTTGTCTTTCCACATCATGCAGCTCATTTTGTAGTCCAGTGCAAAGGTGGAGTCTTTAATGAATGTTAAAAAAGTCCTTTTTCTTTCAGTATCTCCTAAGAGAGACCAAAATAATTGTTAATACAGCTTGCCATAAGCTTGTAGGTCTGTGCATTTTACTGAATGTATGAATTTAGAGTAAGTCACAGTGAGACCAAGAGTTGTATTCAAAACAAATTGCAGCTTTTTTTTTTCTCTGCTCATGGGTTTAGGCATTTCTAGTATCTGCTCCCTTTTGTTACATGTGGTTGTAGTAAGTTACACACTTGTTCTATAGACAGGTATTACAAGGCAAAGAAAGTGATTGCCCTAGTATGCACGTGTATAAACATTGTCAGGGCCCACCAGAGCAAACTAGCATGTGCCATATACCTATTAGGTCATGATATTTCAGATTTAGTTGGTAGTCTTGTGGAGTGGCCACATGATTGGTGTGGTACTTGTGTAAGTTTTCTTTTACCAGATAATTCTGGAAACATGTCTAAACTGTCATTGCCTGACTTATTTCTGGCAATTTCAATTATTTCAGTTGTTAGGATCTGATCTCTAAAATCCTGTATTCTGAGCATATAAGTTTCTTTTATTACAAAACCTCATGTTCCATCAAAGAAAT